AGTGAAAGGAGTGGATGGTGGTATGGATACTTACTTATTAATCGGTCGCAAAGACGAACCACCGCTAAATTTCTCAAATACTCCATTATTTTAGTTTTTTTGTAGTCAGTGTTGTCATCATCTTGTTGACTTATCGTTGTCAGAGACTTTTCTACTTACTTCATCTATCTTTATTCTTATTATGTTCAAGCAAAACTATAGAATTGTTATTTTGCATGCTTAAAAATTTTTTCATATAAAATTAACTTATAGTGAATTGTTCCAGAGGTATTCATCATGATAATTCATTATGTATTGCTATCTTGTTTTAAAACAACGAGAAATATTCAGTCCTGAGACTTCAGAGTTCATTAAATGATTATCTATGAATATTTTAAAGAAATAGAATGGAAATGACTGAAATGCTAGTAGAAAGAATTGAAAAATTGAAATTTTTTGCTTCTACAAGTGAGCAGCCTGGACTTGTCTGTATAGTAGAATAAGTAAGGAATACTTCTTTATTATTAATTTTATTTTCAATAAGATCAGAGTTCAGATTTTACAACTTTCGTATTCAATGAAATTGTGAATGGAAAAATGAAATTAAGAAGAAATAATTGCAATGCATGAAGTCGAGAAGATGAAATACTAGTAATTTTTAAGGTTTCAATTTGAAGCGCACTGCCATATTCGAAGCTAGGGACAAAAACTTTCATTTAAGATCAAAATTTTCGGAAATAATTTACAGAATCCCCTCATGCTCTAAATCCTTCTCACTTTCTAGTCCATCACGCAACAATCAGTATTCCTTGAATATTTTGTCCTGTATTTCTAAGACTTATTTACAGCAGTATTATTGATGTGAGCGGCTGATATTTTATTAAATTATTCAGAAATCCAAAAATGACCTATTTATTTTTGCGTTTTTGTGTCAAGTATAAAGAGTTGTAATAATGTAAACTGCTGATGGGACAAACGTTATTTCTGATCATACGTGCAATTTATCCATTTCATTATAGTTGCCAACAAGTTAATACTACAATATCATAAAGTTTAATATTACAGCTTTACGGCATGTAATTACCTTTCATATTTAAATGAATTAATTTCTCTATGTGTTATGAATTATTGAATAAGTGACTGCTGAGACTTTATTAATACTTGTTGCCCTTTAGTATTAAAATAATTGACTCATAATTTATTAACTCTTTTTTTGCCCTGTAAATTATTTCCAGCTTTTGATGTTGTCTAAAAACATTAATGGTACTGTATTTCTGAATGTTTCAACTTCTGGTAACATTATTACTGTTGAAAAAACAAACATTAAGTCTTTTGAAGTCAAAGGTACTGTGAAGCCATAAAAGTAACTGCTTGCACGCAAAATTCAAGAGAGGAAAGGTTCGAAGCTTAGTATTGATCTAGAACTTAACATAGCTTGTTCAACCGGAAAATTATGTGCAAATAAAAAGATGCTTAAATTTGCAAACATATGCGTTGTGCCATGACCTTTCGAAAGCACAAATCGAAGTGAGTACTGAGACGAGTGATGAGTGCTTTTGCTACTACTTTTCCATCGAAGATTCTGTCAGTACTATATTGAATACATGATTAAGTTCATGACACTGTTATGAAGTCGAGAACTAGTCTACTGCAAAGTGATACCAGTTCAGTTACTCCGTAAGCTGTATGACTAGCAGTAAAGAATTTCCTCTAAATTACACAGTCATATCGCATGATTATTGTCTCTGAAGTGCAATTAACAAAGCCTAAAGGTCATATCGACTAATAGGAGGTCAGGTTAGGCCAGGTTAAGAAGATGTGCTGTTGTGAATGCTAGCCATCTTCGGCTGTACAAACGATACTGAGGTAAACATTGGGATCTTTGCCCGCAACTTTGCATTCGTAGAAAAGATATACAGAAAGGCACACGTGCTAAGGAAGTAAGAGAAACCCAAGACTTTGAGCATCCGATCGGTGCTCTGCTCGTTCTCTGTTCTGCCTAATCTCCTACACTTTTGACTAGTGCTGAATCATCGTTACCTCCACGCCTCATTGATTGCCAGACAATTCTTTGTCTCTATCAGCCCATTCTCTTCATCTCCCATACACTCTAATTTTTCCTTCCTCTGCCTTCCTCAACGCTAAATGACTCTATTTCTTCTTCGCTTTTGATACAATGGATCAATGACTGCTGCCACATCCTGTTATCACCGCGACAGTACCTCATGACGGAACAGTACTTCTTTTCTGTCATTTTCTGATAACAGCTTGCCACTAATGCAGTTAGAAGTGGAAATTGCATCGTCACGTTTTGTTCCACCTGTTTGATGACTGAAAAGTTGTTACCAAGTAAATAATGAATTCAATTGACCGATAACTATTCCTTCACTGATTGATCAATATCATTGTGGTGATTTTATTTATCTTTTTTCCTTAAAGTTGAAGTATTCGTTCACCTCAACATGGTTCAGACAGTCAAGTCTACTTCTGTCTACAATCAAACTCTTCTAATTTGGTATGAAGTGGCAAAATGCGCCTTTGTGTTTTCATCACCAAATAAATAACCTCGCACAAAATTACTTCAATCCCAATTGCTCTACGACATATTATAACAAAGTGGCACTAACAAATGGCAGCATCTTAAATGCTTGGCAATAAATCAGCTGCTTTTATTGCAGATTGACCGAAACTCTATCGTAATGAAAGTAAAGGTAATGCCTATCCATCATCTAATATGAAAATAATAAATTTCACTCCTCGAATGTAAAACTGCCGAGCAGACCATAATGCAGAAGAATTAAGTGAAACAATTCTTCAAGCATATTACATTTTAATTCTGATTTAGGTACACCTAATCTGGTTCGTTATGCAGCTCAGTGTAAATGCGGATAATTCCCATTTCCTACGAACTTACTAGTCACTGCTGATGTAAAAAATGTAATGTGTAATTATTCTGACTTACAACCTACAACTTCACTTTATCATCAGTGAAAATAGTTGAAATTTTGAATGTAATCGAAAGAACACTACAAACTTATTAACCGAAAATTTAGTGCATGCGATGCAAATCTGTTTTTATTCAGGTTTAAGACTTGTATGCAGTGCAATTCCAATAGACCATACATAAGTAGCATGCAGCCCTATATTTTACTAAAAAATAAATCAAATTTCTGGTTCAAAAACTTGTTAAATAGTATATGTAAACCTAATTGTACCTCATAATCTTTGAATGAACTTCTGCAATAAAGTTTTAATTGAATTTTGATGACAGCGATTGTACTTAGTGACGACAGTTATGCGACGCAAAGAATATGAAATAACATTTTTTCAAAACATTTGTGTTATAAAAAATAGAGGAAATCTTCAAATACTGTTCTGCTAAGAAAGTTTGCTTAAATCCTTTCAGAACAACAATTCTAAATAACCGAAACAGTGACCGATTACCAACATCAATGTGGTTGCAATATTTTGAACCTTCTACTTTGTTAACAAGGGTAATTGGGTCAGTTAAGCCGCATTAGCAGTAAGCCCATCTATAAATTATCTGCGACGCTAATTGTCGGTGCCACAATCTTTTTGATCCAAAAATCAACTTTAACTTCCAGACTTAAATATGAAACTTTCACTGCTACGGTTGACCTTTGTTTAAGCATAAGACCAATAAAAACAAGCTATTTTCAAGTATAATTTCTATTGGGAATTAGCGAAAAACTATGCAGGTCAATAGACTCATTTTTTTTCTAAAAATGCGTGGGTCAAAGGCTATTTCTATTGCTGCCAGATATTAAAATCATAGTGAACTTGAAAGCATAAAGAACTTCCAAAGTTGAGAGTTCAAAGCACCAGCAGCAATACATTAATTACCCATGGTATTTAGTACATTTGAGAGTAATCAATTGGTTGAGAGACCAAAGTCCCCAGAAGAGACTGAGATCCCCCAGAAGGTTGCACTAGTTACAAAAATACCTTCCCCGAAAGTAGGCACTATTTCGCAATGAATAAAATGCAGTGTTGATAAAATTTGTTTATTAAACGCGTGCGGAGTAGTGACGCGTGCGTGTCGCGCCGCGTTCATTTCTTGCTGGCTCTATATAAAGCGTGCGGACTTCCAACGTACCAGTGTTAGTGTGGCAGCTTCGGTTGTCGCATTCTGGCGTTGTATGCCGCACGCACGTGAGTACACGCATCGCACGTTCATGAAAACACACGCGCGCTTACTTGCGTAGGTGCGCGAGTTTTCTTACACATACGCACGGAAAGTTCCGTACGCACACGTACGTGAGTTCAGTAAGCTTGAAACACACTAGGGAACTGAGGTCCAAACGTGTGATTCATTGTAGAAAGTGGGGAGGGGTTGGTTCTGTGAACCGTGGAGGTCCGTAAGAGTCGGAACATTCATGATACTTGACCTTTGACCTTGCGGGGTAATGTAATAAGCATGTGATTTTGTGTATAGATGCATCGGAAATGGGAGTAGTGAAATGTTCTTAAAGGTGTAATGTCTTACTTGAAGCGAGATTTCAGCTCCTAGTAAGACTTATATCTTTGATCAATATATTGGTAGTAATTATAATTGATATTTGATAAGATTGGTGACGATGACAGCAACAGTGATAGATCAAGCAGATCAGCAACAGCAACAAGATCAAGAAAAGCAGAGATTACTTGTGGAGTCGAGACCAGGTGGTGGTGATATTGTTTTGACAATGGAAGGGGTTGATGAGAAAGTTTCTTCTGTTGTACTGAAGGAGATCTCTCCCGAAGTACATGTTCTGGAAGAGCAGTGTGTTGCAAGACAACGGGAAATTCCAGGTGATGTTGCGAGAGGTGGTGAACCACCCGAACCTTCTGCATCTGCTTCCCGGGTCAAGACTAAAAAACCCCGCAGAAGGTTTGTTCTTTCATTTCTTGCCTCTTCCTCATTTACATATTATGCATTCGTTCATTATTTGCTGTATGTATTATGTAGTTTTCTGTTCCGCTAGTTTACGTCAAATTAAGTTAGCCGCTATCATATTGTTCAAAGGTGCTTCTTATGATTTTGCTAGTTTGGGAATACTTGCGCCTCCATCCTTTTTCTAGTCATCATTTTGCGCCCATTTTTAGTATTTACATTAATGACAACAATAATGAACAAATGTAAATTATGGAAGCAAGAGTCGTAGTAATCAGTAACTTAATACATTTGTAGTAGTCAGTGAGTGTTTGTTAATATTTGATTGATGTCAGTATTCATACTAATAACAATTTATTAGTACTTTTAATAGCAATGAGGTAGGAAATATCTGAAGTATTGTGTTAAAATTTTTGGTTTTATATTAAAATTAGATCCAGAAAATGTGCAAATGAATTGATTGTGGCGCACTGAGTATTTTCAAAAAAATGATATTTTGGTGCAAGCGTTTCGGTTTGGACCAGCGGTTAGGCAATATTTGTTTTTAGAAGAATAATATATTTTTACGAACAGAAATGAGTTTATAGAGCCCTTTATTTTTTAAATTTTATCTACTTTTCTCTGCACATAAAAATGACTTTAATCTTGTCAAAAAGTAGGAACTTCAAACACATTCTTTGGTTTTAATTTGTTTTTATTTCACTTTTCTATGCTTTTATCTTGTCGAAGTGTTTATTTATTGAGAAAAATCACTATAACTAGTAGATTTCAGGAGAGGCGGCAAGGGGCGCTGGAAACCGTATCACAAATTATCGCATAAAAAATTTGGTAAGGAGGAAAGGGGAATCAAGAGAAGGGAAAGGTTGGTTTTTAAATATGACTTGTTTTATAAAAGCTTAAGATTTTCAAAAATTGACGACGAGTTTTTTCATCTTTCTCCACTGTTCATTCACGAAATTCTGTCTGCTTCCGATCTTTCTAATACTTGGAAATTATTTCCCTGCTAATGTCAATATAAGTTTGAGAAGTTGGGATTTAGCAAAATTTGTGGCGCAGAATTAAGTATATTCTATATATCTCCTTTGTACTTTTTGTGTGTATGTCAAAAAGTCTGTGATGTTGTCCCACTCTTTAGATTCAAACAAATTTCAAGATGAGATTTTGAAGTTAGGAAAGCTTTTTATTCCAAGCTTTAGATAACGACTGTAAATCACGGATTTGTAATATTTGTAATATTTAATTATAAATCTTTTTTTACTGAAGAGAGATCAATAGAATCGGGGAACTATTTCTTGAATCCTTTCGGAATTTTGTTTATCCATAAATGTGTTGTTCATTTTGCGCACAGTGATTGATAAACGGTTGAAAGAAAATGAGATAAATTTATGAAAGTATCTTACAATTCTTTCTCTGGAACAGTAATTGGCCTTTTAATTCATTGTCTGATGCAAAACAAAATTCTTAATTAGTTTAGCCCTAAAGTTAAAGCTCTTTTTTTCAAAGATTATTTTCCCGTGGTAAACCAATGGCACCATACAACACAACGCAATTCATAGTGGAGGATCACGAAAGGCGCACGATGCTTGCAGAAGCAGCCACAGGAGCTGATCCAAATTTCGCCCCTCATGCCAGAAGAATACTTTCACCGAACGAAAGGTTTATCTTTGTCTTTCACAGTTAATTGTGGGTCACTTATTATTGTTGTCTTTACCTGAGATGAGTATGGCCAAGCAAAAACTTGCAGTATTGAAACTGTAAATAGAAAAGTGTTACCTAAAGATGTCGCGTATTTGATTCTGCAACGGCTAATTTTATTGCGACATACTGACATAGTAATCATTGACAGGCAGTTATATATGGGCAAATAGTAGTGCTCGTCCGATGTTTAGTTGACAAATTTTTGTGTGGGGTTATTTTTGTAAGTAACACTCATGCTCGTTTTTGGGAAGAATTAAACTGGACTGTTTGTTTAATTTATTGGTAAAGGCTTAATTCATTGAATGCATCACAAGTATAATTTCTTCTGATGTTTGCTTCATCCATCATTGTTGAATTATATACTAAAAATTATAATGCTCGTGTTGACAGAAAGCAGTCGTCTAAAATTTAAATTAAACATTTCTGAAGCAAGTGTACTACGAGTTGAAAATTTTTCTAGACCTTGTCTGCAATTATGTTAAAAAAAGTGATGAGCGTATGACGACAAACGACATATTCTCTCACACATACATACATACGCGCTTGTGCTCCTCTCCATGTCGATCGACTCTGAAAATCTCCAAAGGCGAGCAGATTTTCATACAGTCGATTTGGCGATTCATTCACTTCCTGGGTATTGGCGTGCTTACTTTTTAAGGTGTTGAAGTGGAGGAAGTGCGGAGAAGAGATAGTAGCAATGTAAGATATGTGGCTCACATTATGTTTTCCTATGCATTTCAATTTTGCATTAAAAGGAAGGCATGTGAGCTGTAGAGATAGCGGCCTTTTTACAGTTCATCTTCATCTCTAAAGTCATCCTAGTACTAAATGTAAAAGATTTCTTGTCTAGTAGTAAAAGAGACGGAATCACTTTCATGTAAAGCTTCCAAGAATTTGGTTCGCTGTAGAAATCAAGATGTTATTTCATTATACATCGTATTCCAGTTTAATTTTCTTACGCAAATATAAATATTTGAAGGCCGCTGTTTACGCAAAGCAAGTGGATGCGAACTGTGAAAAAATTGAGGTTATTATAACTTCTTCATTACTATGTTGAATAATTTTTGTCTCAGGTCAGTTTTTTATTGTAGTTATGGTATTGCTCAGGCAGGATCGGGTGGAAACACTACAGACACAGCAAGTTATTCAGGTGCAGAGGATGATCAGATGGAAAGAGAATTTGACGCTGATTACGATTATGTTAATATGGAGCGCATTTGTAGCATGAGCAAAGATGGAGTGATTTTTTTTCCTTAATTTTCAATTTCTTATTTTGGGATCACTACAAGCATAAGTAGTGTTATTTGTAAGGAATCATTTAACGTATAATTTGAATTGAAAGATTTCAAAAAGTAAAATTAGTGGTTCTGCAAAATCTGAAGCTTCATGAAATTAGATAAAAAGTGACTGGTAGTAGAGCAAAGGATTTTTTTGAAATACAGTGTGCACTGAAATTAGCACATCTACCAGAGTAAGATAAGAAAGTCATAAAAAGTTGGTTGATATGTTTCTAAAACCACCCATAGTTTGTGAACATGCGAGAAGAAGAATTTTTAGTCCTATGTTTTGATTTCAGGTTGTGCGAGAGTATATGCATTTGGAAAAACTTAATAGTAAGATGGGGGATCGATTGAGGTTTCTGGAGTTAGAAAATGATAAGTTGAAGCAGCTGTTGAATGAGCATAACATCCTATACGACGAGGTCTTGACCAGAATACGTAGGCACAGCGCAGCGTCGATTTCAGAAGCAGGAGAAGCAATACGTAGAAGTCTAGATGAAGTCTTAGCTGAGAAGAAGCAAACAAAAGTGATGCAATGAGAGAGGTAGTATTTACTTGTATGCAGCTTGTTTTTAGTACTATTTTGTAATTTCATTCAATGAGTGCTGTGTGGGAGACGCATAATTTTTACATTGTTGTTCCATTAGCGGATACAGAGTTGTTACTTTTGTACCAGACTTTGAATATTTCATATATTATTTGATGTAATCATTACCAATTTTTATACGAATGATTATTGATTAATCTAGTCACAGCTGATTCGCAGTCATTACATATTCGGCCAAAAAATAACTTTATTGTAACTCATTAGCATTCAGTTGATTTTGTTACCTTCTAAAATATGGAAATAACTGAAAAGTATATTCAAGTCAAGCTGTCCGTTTAAGTGCAGACACAAATCTTCACCGCTTTTTACTCTGCAGTTATACTTCCTTCAACTGTGTAATTATGAGACTTTTACTCCTTGGTCACTTTTGTAAAAAGAAATTAATTGATTTAAGAGTTGTGTATGCTTTTCGTAATGACTGAAAATCTAATCTTATAGCTGAGATAGAAGACTGCAGTGCTGAACACTTAAGATGGGACAACAAATATTCATTACTTAATTATTAGTTAAAAATAGCCTTACACAGAAGTTAAGCAAGTTCAGCACTGCAGTAAGTACGATAGATTAAAGTATATCCATGAAATAAATTTTTTGTTCTTGATTTGTGTTTTTTATGAAGTAGTATTTTGAAATACATCATGTTTCAAAGGGAAGGTTTCGTGATTAGGAGTTTCTTGCCTTATACCAGGTATGGAAAATATTTTTTCATTACTTGTGAGGATATATCTCAGGACGGCGTGTGTACATGCATGCACTAATGAACAATTTTGATTTTTGAGGACTCCTAGTCATTCCTTGTTATCTTTTTAACCTTAAACTTTTAATGCTTTCAGCAGTGTCTCCTAAATATTCATTTTCGATATAATGATCTGTTCATTTTATATTTTGTTGTTTCTTTCTAGTTCTTAATTTGTGAACTGTTTTTAGTGACACATGCTGGAGTGAAATAATTGCGCTGTACATATAATGGTGATATGAAGATTAATAAAATGAAAGCTACAGTACTTACCGCTTAGCGAATTTGTTTTAGATAATTATTCAAGTTTTGGTAGATCGGAATTTATAATTGTACTGCTAGTAATTTTCAGTTTAATTTTGCTTGTGGAGTGGATAGAAATTAAGAAGAATACTAATCCTTTCTGTGAAAATCTTTATTCAATTAGTGTCATTATTTATTCCATAATATTCATCTCTTTACTGTGTACATTGTGAAAAATATTGATGCTCTGTGCTTTTCAAAGTAAATATTTTCGCGGTAGCAGTGTGGTATCAGTAAGCAATAATTGTATTCATTAAACTGATTAAATTTTCGAAAATAGATTAAGTTACCAATGCCTACTCACAACTAATGGTTTTTATTTATTACTATCTTTTTGGAGGCTGCAAGGTCAAGTACGAAGATGCCTCAAATTGATTTTGTGTTGTCACATTTGGATTCGGGGTTGTGTGAATTGATGGCAGTTCAATCTTTCTCTCAATAGCGAATGCGAAGGTGATTGCCTTTTCCCTTGTCTTATTCAAGTAGTTATGGTTGAGTGCGTCAAAATTTTCTGTCGCATTGTGGGAATGACGATAGGTCACCTCTTCCTTTGCCATCAGTTCTCAATAATATTTATCGGTATTATCACCAAGAACATATTAGCGAATGATGAAATTACGCAAAGAACAGTTGAAGGCAGTACATTAACCACTAGGAACGCTTCAAATGTGCAAGCGAAGTGCGATCACGTGGATCCATACGTGGAGTTTGTTTATTTATTTTTTGCTTATTTCTTACAAAAAGATTAGTTCTTGCTTTACCATTTTTGCACTAAGTGCTTAATATGAAAGTAGATATTTGGAACTCATTCTTTATTTAAACGAAATATCCGCTTCTATTCCGAGGAACTCATGCATCACAAACAAGAATTGTTGTTACAAGTTTGCCTGATTTATTATTTACATTTTGTCATAGTGATATTGCAGAAAAATTTTTGAGAAACCTGCAGTAGTAAATATCTAAAATCTAAAAGATCAAGAAATTTCGTAAAAGTTTATGCATCTCGTGCAGCTAACCACTGTTGTAGCTTCTATCATCTGTAGAACAGCTATTTCATGACATTATTCAATTTCTCTTAATGACTAATGGAAAATTTCCATTTGCATACTGTTTGCATCAACTGCAGCATTGTTTCCTGGTCAAAAGTTGATTATATTGCAAATAAATGTGATCCAACTACTCCGAAGGATGTTGATGAGATGCAAAATGAAGTGGAAAGGAAGCGATATGAATGGGGTGTTGAGAAATTTGCTTATGATATACTGGCAAGTGATAAGATTGGTCCACATCGTCGATTACCACCTGTTTATCACAAATTGTAAACATTTCGTTTCTAAATTTCTGCAAGTCTTTACCCTCAGAGTCACTTTTTCAATTCGTTCATTTAAAATATTTATACAAATTAATGAAGCATGAATTAGCAAATGTTAGCTTCTTATCAGTTTTTCTTCAAAATATTCATAATTTAGTATGCTCTTTGTGAGTTAATAGTTGTGTCATTATTAAGTCCGAGTATTATAAAATGTTTCCAAACACATTTAATGTAAACAAAAAAAATAAAGGAAGATAAGTCCAGTAGGATCAATTTTCTCGAAAATTAACTTGAAGATCTGTATTATACAATGATTAATATTTCGCCTTCAGATGCGAAACATTACCTCGCAATATCAATTTAACAGCCAGTATAGTGATCATTTACCATAATGAAGCATTATCAGTGTTGATCCGTATGTTAAATAGTATTTTTGATTGTACTCCTTTGCAACTGGTAAAAGAAATCATATTGTATGATGACTGTAGCGATCAGGATACGTTAGTAGTCGATCACATTTTCACTTATGGTAGTCTTGTACAATGGCCTATGGAAAAAGTAGTTACTCGACGAAGTGATAAACGGTTAGGACTTATCAGAGCCAAGGTTAGAATCTTCTTTTGAAAGAATTTATGTATATCTCAACTTCAGCGAGGTCTCAAAATATTTGTAGGATTTGCTTTCATTCGGAAGACGTCATTTATCAGAGACGAAATATTGCTATTACAAATCTACTTTCTGAAACTACTTCTGAATAATATATTCAGAATTTATTGTAGTGATGTTACGGAACGAAATTCTGAGCAGTACTTATGCAATAATAATGTACAAAATATCGAAAATTTCTTAAATAGGTTTATGCATCTCGTGTCGCTGTTGGAGACGTTCTCATATTTTTGGATAGTCACTGTGAAGTAACTCCACTTTGGATTGAACCATTATTAGTACCAATTCAAGAAAACTTTACTAGGTTTGTTTCTTTCTTTTACTTTTTTAATTAAAATTGTTAAGTGAAAAACATAATATATCTATTATATTCAATTTAGTATTTACCCTCAAAATAATGCAATAAAACATGAGTGCACAGAAAACAGAATATTGCATATAGGAATTGGTAATTAGGATTAGTTTGTTACTCATGCAACGATTTAATTTTGTAGACTTCTAAGCTTTATATTCATCTTGTTTAGTTATTAGACATAATCCTAAGAATTATGCAATTCTCAGCCTTAGCAATGTTTTTAAGTACTTGAAGAGTAAATTTAATGTGTATTCAGAGTTGTTCTTCCAGTAGTGGACTTAATCAATCCGAAGACATTTGAATTTTCTAAAGCAATGATAACAAAAAGCGTTTTCAATTGGCAACTAAAATTTTCTTGGAAATATATTCCTTGGGAATACTGGGATGTGCCCGAAAATAATATTAATCCATTTCAGTAAGTTTCTTCGATTGCCAAGAGTTTTCTTTTTAGCAGAAGTTATAGTAAAAGCAATGAGAAATAACTGTGATACCAGAAGAGTTCTCACTCTTTTCATTTACCTATACAAAATACTTTCACTTTTCCTGATTCCACGAAGGAAACATAAATGTTGTTTATTTTCAAGTCATTCATCTTTGAGAAGCTTTAATAGTTCTTCTGTGATTTTCATGCAATATAGTGAAGTATGATATAACTCAAAATTACTTTCAAAAGTCAACTTTTTATTGTTAAAATGACTATCTATGAATGTTTTTAACTGAGAGAAGGACACAATATGAAGTGCAGTTTATTAGTTGGCGATGATTTACTTTTGTGATGAAAGTTATTAATCAGAAACCATCTAAATAATCACATGAAAGACACTTTTTATAATCTATTTAATGCTATTAATATCCACTTTAATATTTACTCTTAGGTCACCAGCAATGTCAGGTGGTCTGTTAGCCATTGCCCGGAAGTATTTTCGTGTCATGGGTGAGTACGATACGGGAATGGAAATTTGGGGAGCTGAAAATGTTGAAATGTCTGTTCGGGTACATCACAGTACATATAAATTGTGGCATATAGATTCAAATCAAATCTTAACGTTAACCGTTACTTGAAGTGCAAACAAAATTAGCTAATGCTTGATCATGACTGCATCTGAACACTGCGCTAAGAAATGATTTCGTCGCATCTTTCATCATTTAATTAACTGTTACTAATTTTTATTACTGAAATAAATTTCTAAATGTATTTAGTAAGTAAACTCTAATGATTCTATAATTGATAGATATAAAATAAATAGAAACTGTGTTTGTATTAGAATGTCAATAGAATGAGCAGTTAATTAAATGATGAATAACGATATAATAGGGAATTACAATTTCATGCTCTATATAATAAAATTGATTATACTTCACATCTGGTAAAATAATTTTTTCCTCCATTGAGAAGCTATTTGTATAATATTTTAAATCGAAATCCCAACTATGACTCAGATATGGCTTTGTGGTGGTTCTATTTTGGTAGCCCCATGCAGTCACGTTGGTCATGTTTTCCGAATGCATCGCCCATATAAAAGCATACCTGGTTTAGATTCAGTGCTATATAATTCATTACGAACTGTCAAAGTCTGGTTTGATGACTATGAGGTGCGTTATTAACACCTTTTTCTTGGTTTTACAGCCAATTCCATTAATTTTATAGTTACTCATAGAGTTTGAAGATTTTACAGCTATTGCGCTTGCAAAAAAAAAAATCTGCAAAAGAAGTCAAGGTTACTTCAAATTGTAAACGTTAAAAGCAATATTATTCACAAAATTTTGTCAAGACTACAATTTGATAAAAATTTTCGGAGAAACAGAATAGGATTTGTTTGAAAGTGAGTAAGAGAAAAAGTATCGAAAACTAGTTTACAAAATATATTGAAAAATTTCTTACAAATTAATCAAATGTTTTGCTTGCGGATGACTTCCTGTTTTTGTGTTTGGAACTTTGGCTAATTGGTTTTTTATTTTACTCTCATAATAGTTCATTCTCTTACTTGTATGTAAGCTTATATTACTTATAGTTTCAGATGAGAGTAATTATTCTTAATTATTGCTCTTTACTGGTGATTTACACACGCATACATACAGTGAAAGGGCTAGAAAAGCAAATTCTATTAGGATTACAAGTAATATAAAGAGAACAGTTTAAAGCCGCACTCATAAAACCATCACATCCTTAACTGACAAAAAACGTATGATTTTATGATCAGATTCTTTATGCAATATATTTTACAATTCCACGAAGATGTTTTTTCAGAAATATTTTTATGCAAAACAACCAAAAGCAAAAGGAATGGATGCGGGCGATTTGAGTGAAAGATACAGATTGAAAGAGAAACTTAACTGTAAGTCATTCAAATGGTACGTACAAGAAGTCGATCCAGAACTGGAACTCACAAAAGTCTTGCCACATGAAGATCTCTAAATTATTTGTAATTGGCTTGGTAAACATGAAAATGACTTTTTTCGTGTTTTCAATTAATATTTTGACTGTTTGTGTAAATTTCTTCAAATTTTCCTACTGAATTTTTTCCCGGGAATAAAAGATGTAAAACACATTTTTCTTCAAATTACTGCTTACTTTGTTTTCTAAATCTTATATTTATTCAGTGATATTGTTTTACACTCGAGGGTGCTGTAAGTTACTTTGCAAATGGGTTATTTTTATGACTATTATTAATAAACAACTCTGAATGTAACAAATTAAAGCTCGCTCTTAATATTATGTACTGCGAAAAGTCGCTAAAACAAATGGAATGGTAGTTCATTTCGTTTGCAATTATTATGGTTGATAGAGAGAGAAAAAAATAATCTCAGAATTGAATGATCATCGAGCTAGTTGTGTTGTATGCATAACAATGTGAAAAACTAAAGATAGCCTTGGTAATGTCTGTGGTAAACGAGGCTTAGAGATTAAATACATTTATCTGTAGCATAAAATTGTTCAGAGAATGAATCATTTCTAAGGAACTATGAATTGAGAATTTTGAAAAATTGAGTTTCATCTCTGAAATTAAGACAAGTGCATGACTGTAGGTCATCGTTCATTCGTGCGTATTCAGTTCCATTTCCATTTCCATCCCCAGCTGTGTACGGGATAATCATCATGATGAAGATCGTGTGGGAAATGATGATACTGATACCATGGAAAGTGTCCGTGATAATGATAGTGGGCCGGATTCCAGAGACCATTCCAATCTTCATCCCACCAGCCTGAAGCTAACACGGAGATGGATGTCATCGTCACTATCAGTAGTGCTAGCAGCAATCGATGCGAGAGCATATCTGAATTATAATGTGGTAATTAGTTGATTTATCAGATTATTATAGAGGATAAAATAATGCAACTCACTTGGTTGCCTGACGGGAGTGAAGACTTGCTGTTTGATTTAAGTTGATGTGGAAGTGATCCACAGGACTCATTTATATATTCTGAACACAATACTGAAACAGGCTCAAAATCTAGGGCAGGAAGAGACATTGTTAGCAAAGTTGCTTGCAGAATCATCTTGTCGTTTTTTCAGCTCGCAAAAAATTGTCTCTCTGTTTTTTCTTCTC